ATCTGGGACTCCCGTCCGTCCTCTGAGCGGGCGAAGCGAGGGGCCCATCCCTCCCCTCACCAGGGAAGGATTGGGTGGGGGGGCGTCCCCTGTGAGGGGAGGGTTTTGAGGGGTCCCGTTCCTCCCCTCACCGGGGCGCTTGGAAGGTTCCATCCCTCACGGAGGGGAGTTCGGGGGTCCCGTCCCTTATGGAGGGGGCTCTGGATGGGGGATCCCGTTCATCTCCTCAGCGGTTCGGGTCTGGGGGCCCCGTCCCGTCCCTCACCGAGTCCGGGATGTGCGGGGCGGTTTGGGGGAGCCTCCCGTCCCTCCCCTCACGGTGCTGGCTTGGGGGGAGGTTTGGGCGTCCCGTCCCTCCCCTCACGTGGGGATTTTGGGGCCGGGCGGTTCCCGCTGTCCCCGCGCCGCCTCACGGGGGTTCCGCACCGGCCCCGCCGTTCCGGGCGCCACTAACGGCCCCTCATCCCTCCCTCCGCCGCCGCAGGGCCGCCATCCCGGAGCCCCGGCCATCCCAGCACCTGGACCTTGTAAGTACAGGAAGGGCTTGTCTTCAGTATGTCTTTTTTTTAATATTTAAAAAAAAAACAAACCCTTGAGGAAGCTCTGAGGTAGCTCTGCTCAGGTTTTCTGTTGCAAACCGTGTGTAAAATTTGGGATCGAATTGCCTGCAAGAAGTCTATGCAGCGTGTTATTTTAAGGGTGTAGCTCCCCATTTTCAGGGTTTGGTTGCTGGAAGCTGTGGATTGGGCAGGCCCGTGGCTGCATTGTGTAATTCCTGATAGTATTTTCCTCACCCAACACACTCAGCGAGAGCCACTTGTGCTCCTGGAATTAGGGAATTCTTGAATCCTGGGATCATTTTGGTTGGAAGGACCTAAAAGCCCATCCAGCCCCATCCCTTCCACTATCCCAGGTTGCTCCAATCTTGTCCAATCTGGTCTTGGACACTTCCAGGAGTGGGGCAGCCATTAGGGTTGAGCTTCTACAGAAAAATGGAATTTAAGATAAAATTTTGGAGAATGCTCTAGGGTGATATCAGTGCAGTGATCCTGAAGGAAGAACAATAATAACTGTAGTAATATGTTTGACTAAATCCTGTATTTCCTTCAAAAAGCAAAGGACCGCAATGGACAAAGGTGGGTGACTCCTTTATTCCCTTTTTTTCCCCTCAGAACACCTTGGAATTGTCCTTTTCCACGTGAAGCTCAGCCATGACCGACCAAGAGCTCGTTCTCTGCAAGTGGAAGAGGCGTTTGTGGCCAGCCAAGGTAACGAGGAATGAGGAAATGTTTGTGGAGGTTGCTTGGGAAGGGCTAAAGCAGAGCAGGAAGGAAGGGAGAGGTCCCAGCGAATGTGTCTGAACTTGTCTGGGCTGTGGAGATGCCAGCAAGAAAAAATGGAGAGGGCCTGGAGCGATGGGACATGGGGGAATAACTTCCCACTGCCAGAGGACAGGGTTGGATGGGATATTGGGGAAAAAATTCCTCACTGTGAGAGGAATGGAATGGATTTCCAGGGAAGCTGTGGCTGCCCCTGGATCCCAAGAACAGGCTGGATGGGGCTTGGAGCAGCCTGGGATAGTGGAATGTGTCCTTGCCATGGAAGGGATGGGATGAGATGGGATTTAAGGTCCTTTCCCACCTCATCCATCCTGGGATTTTAAGGCTGCTCCCAGGCACTTGTGAGCTGTTCCACAGTGATTCCTGTCATTATGGAAACACCACAGTATCAGTATAAACAAAGAATACTGATCTCAAAGCATGGACATGAGACAAATATAACAATTCCATTATTTTTGTTTAAATCCCTTTGCTGTGAGCTGCTAGCTTTTGCTGTTACCTATTTTTTGCCACAGTTACAGCTCAGCAAATAATTATAAATTGTGTCCACTTATAAATTGATGTATGAAGAAAGCAGCAGGATTGTGCAAACATATAAAAACTTGTTCCTGCTGTTGCTTGCTAGAAGTGTAACCTGGCCACATGTTGGAGAACCTGGCCACATGTTGGAGCTTTGCCAAGACCTGCTGGGGGGCTCCCAGCCAGGGCTGCTTGGGGGATAGCCCAACAAAAAACTGCCTAAAAAAGAGGCAGAGGCCAGGGGTAAAGTGGAGACTCCCCTTGTGCCCAGAGCTGCCTGCTCATCCCTTATCAACGAATTAATAAATTGCCTTATTGATTGGCCAACTCAGTTGTGGTGAGCTGCTCTTTATAATAAACGTTTTGCTGTTGGTTAAGGATTTTTAAATGAAATTTTTTGATTTTAACACAGGTTTTGTGCAAGCCTGGAGTTGCCGGGAGCAGTCCTGTTGCCACCACGAAAAGGATGGGATTTAAAGCTGAAATCTTTGGCTTGGAGAAGCAGTTGAGTGTCTTTGTTCCTGTCAAGTGTTTGCATTCTTAGAGGTTAAAAAAATAAGGGGAAGAAAGGAACCTGAAGGTGCCTGTGAGATGGGATCCTGGATTTGCAGGAGGTTTAGGTGTTCAACCAAAACAAGGACAGGTTGGGGAGGGATTATTTGGGTTTTTTTGCTATCTGAAAGCAGTTTTGTGGTGCTGGGAGTGTTTTGGGTGCGGCTTCCAGTCACCTTTTTGTGTTTCAGGGTCAGTGTGAGCTCTGCAAATGTTGTTCCCCTGACGGAGGAGCGGATCAAGGCCATTGCCTCCACGCTGGGTGAGGAGGGAAGGGCCCAAATGTGCTGCTTTGTGTCTTTTTGGGGTGTAAAGGACCCACAGAAAAGCTCCAAATGTGCTGCTTGGTGTCTTTTTGGGGTGTAAAGGACCCACAGAAAAGCTCCAAATGTGCTGCTTGGTGTCTTTTTCGGGTGAAAAATCCCTGCAGAAACTTAGCCTGGGGAGATAAAACTTCTGTATTTCACTTATTTTCTTCTCCCCTTTTCCATGAAGTTGGAAAATAGGTGAAAAACCATCATTTTCCTCTTCCCTGGGGTGGTTTGTTGGAGGGATGGTGAAGAAATGGGAGTTTCCCTCAAAATGAGGCACTTCCAGCTTGGTCTTTGTGTTTCTCCATCCTTTGCCTTGGGAATTGTGGATGATTGAAGTAATACAAAATGTACCTTAAAAGAAACACTTCAAGTAACACACATTATTTCTTCAATAATACATTTTGTTTGTGATAGAATAACGAGGATAATTTCATTTATTGAATATTTTTCCTCATCAGAGCAAAAGAATAGCATGAGTGAGGCCGTGGAGGAGCTGCAATATCGCTGTTCCCTTAAAATTGCCTTGGATATTCTCCACCAGACTGACTCAGGCAGTCAAATACCACCTGCAGAAGGACCAAATTCTGAATTTTCCCAGGAGAAATCTGCTCCCCCCGCCCCCTCCCACGGCTTCTTGTTGCGCTCTCGCTCTAAAAAGTCAGAACCTGAGGCTGCCAAGAGGAAAAGAAAACCCCAAAATAACTGTGGGTTGAAGGATGATCCCAAAGCGCGGAGCCAGGGAGGTTCTGTGGCTCCAGAGGGGAGTGGAAAAGCACCTGGAAGTGGCACAAACCCTTCCAGAGCACCTGGAAGTGGCACAAGCCCTGCCAGAACACGTGGGGGTGGAACAAACCCTGCCAGGTGCGGTGCCAGGGACTCGAGTGTGCCACCAGCCCCTGACGGTCACAGCTGCGAAAAACCAGAATCAAAATCATCCCCCAGCCAGAGGAAAATCCAGCCTAAAACAGGGAATGGTGTGTCCTGTATGCCAAAGGCTGGAAGAAGTCAGCAAGGAAGGAAAAGAGGATGTAGGGATGATTCCCCAGAGGTGGCTCCTGAGGAGGGGTCTCCACCTGTCCTGTCTAAATCTGGCACTGTGGAACCTCCTGAAAAGACAGGAGCTCAGCCTGGGAGAGCATTCCTGGATTCCTCCTGTGGAACTGCCTCGGATGAGTTGGAGAAAAGCATCAGCAGTGAGAGTGAGAGCCTGGCAAAGCAGCTGGACGGGAGGAGAGAGGAAGAGGCTGGAAAACAGCTGGATGGGGCAGGTGTGGCCTCAGGCACAGACAGGAAATGCAGGAGCCACCCTGGATCCTCACCTGGGCCTTCTGGTGCCTTCCCTCAGCCTCAGGAGGAGGAGGAAAACCAGGATCCCTCACACCTGGCTGGGAATAAAGCCCCTGACTCCGAGGAAGATGAAGGTGGGAAAATCCCTTGGGGAAGGGAAACCTTCATCCCTCCCCCATGGGTGTTGAGCACTGTTACTCACCTTGGAATGTTGATTTGCTTTTAGGGAAGTGGCTTTTGAGTTGCTGATTTAATTCCTTTTGGTTTCTATTCCTGGGAAGCAGAAATGCTGATCCCTTCAGTGCTGGGGAGGGCTTGGGTGGTGTTTGGGTTGTCTGGAACTGCTTGGGCTTTGCCATGGAAAGCTGGGGTTGGGTTTTTTTTTGAGCTCACACTTGTTTTGCCTTGCTGCTCTCTGGTAAATTGAGATTAAATGTTTGTAAATGAGCAGGTGCAGGGTCCTGAAACCAGCCCCATTCCTTCCCCTTTCCCTCTTTTACCCACATGATCAGGGAATTAAGAGTCCCTAATTAGGGATGTGCAGGTGTGTCAGGTCCCCACGGGTGGGACAGACCCTGTGTCCCCTCTGGGGTCATGCCCAGGGGTCTCACCTGCTCTGAGGCTGATCTCATCCTAATCCCTGGATCCTGGTGCCGTTGGCAGGGCTGGAACCCTCTGGAATGTCTTCCAGGAGATCTTCCTCAGAGAGCCTCCCTCCACTCTCACCTCTGGCGGATGAAGAGGAGGAAAATTTCCCAAGTGTTCTGTCCCATCGAGGTGAGACATCAGCACAGGCCTGAGGCTCTTCCCCCTCTGTGAGCTGCAGTTTGCCTGCAATCCACAGGGATTCCAGGAGGGAATCCAGCTGTGTCCAGGCTTGGGATAAAACGCATTTCCTGGGTCCATCAGACATTTTGCTGCAGAATGAAATGGAAATCCCTGAAACTGGGCAGGGGGCTGGGGTTAAAGTTGCTGGGTTCAGAAGTCCCAGTGCTGCATCTTGGGGTCACTGTAAAAGCACTGAAGAGAAACTCCTGGAGGGAAAGAAGAGAGGGGCAGCATCTGTTTTATTTTATTGTTTTTAAGGAAAAATTTCCCTTCTTTTTCATGCCAGAACCCAAATTCTTCCAGGAAGGGATGTTGGTGTGGTGTAAGCTGCAGCGATATCCGTACTGGCCAGCCGTGGTAAGAGCAGCTCCTGCCTCCTCATATCCTGCTGATAAGGAGCAATTCCCAGTGCTGGAGTGACTTTTGCCCTTCCTGGAGGTGTTAAAGACCTTCCAGTAGAAGCATTTTGAAATTGATAGAAGTAAATTTGTTCTAGAAACACTTTAAATGTGGTAAATTCACACCTGTTTGGACAGAGCACAGGATTTTGTTCCCAGTTTGCAAAAGAAAGGGGAGGCTCTTTGTGCACTAAAAATGCTCCCTTGGGGTAACTGGTTGCTGCTTCCACTTGAAATTTTCATATTTGTGTAATAAATGAAAGTTACACCAACAGGAAAAGTTTAAGTGTGGGTTGTAGTGGGTGATATCCACAGAAAAAATATCCCTTTTTTATCAGGATTAGGATTTTTGAGCCTTTCTCCTCTCTCCAGGTGAAAGCAGTGAAGAGGAAGCACCGAAGGGCCTGTGTGCTCTTCATAGATGGCACCACAAATGAGAAGAAAAAAGGGTAAATGTGGATTTTCATCCCATCCTGACTTTGCAGTCTCTTTATTCCGGGTCCTGCGCTTGTTTCCTGGTGCAGGGTGAGGACAGTCCTCCCCAGGCTGATCTGGGAGGGAGGAGCTGGGGCACTGGGGCAGGTGAGGTTGCAGGTACTTTGTCACGCTGCAGGGTTGAGGCAGCTCCCTCTCCCTGGGAAGGGCTGAGGAATCGAAAACAAAACCAAAACCAAACCAACAAACAAAAAAAAAAATCCCTGGAATGCAGCCACTGTTCTCCTTGTGCTGCCCAAACTTTCTGGGAGCACTGGGCTGCCTTTAACTTTTCTCTGAACGAGGTATTTCTCATTTGCTAGAAGATTCCATACTGTTAACATGCTCTGGAAGCAAGAACTATTAGAACTTGTGCTCCTTAATTCCTTGGGAAATGGGATTTTCAGGGAGAAGCAGAACTGCAGTAAAACAGGGAAATGGGGCAGGGGAGTTGCACCTCTGACTGTGTTTCTTTAAAAGTTTTTCAGTGTCTCTGAAGAGCCTGAAGCACTTTGACTGTGAGGAGAAGCAGGAGCTCATTGTGAGTATCCCAGAGATCTGGAACTGCAGGGGTTGGGAAAATACAGTGGGAAACCCAGGATATAAATAATTCCAGGAGTGGAATGTGGGGCTTGACCCCCTCAAAGCCGCTCTCATCCCTGTGACAGTTCTGGCAGGAGCTCTTTTGCTGCGAGGAAAGAATTGTCACGGACCATTTCTGTCCCCTGCTCATTGTCCTGGCCTGAAACTCTTGGAGAGCTGCTGGATTTGGGACAGCAAATCCTCCTTGTTTTGCAGGAACGAGCCAAGGAGAACTATTCCAGGGAAATCGAGTGGTGCCTCCAGCTGATCCTGGACTATCGGATCCGAGTGGGTAAGGAGGGGCAGGTGACCATGGAATCACCAAATCCCAGGGTGGTTTGGGTGGGAAGGGTCCTTAAAACCCATCCAGTCCCCACTGCCGTGGGGCAGGGACACCTTCCACTGTCCCAGGGTGCTCCAAACCCTGTCCAGCCTGGCCTTGGGCACTCCCCAGCTTCTCTGGGATCTCATCCTGAGATCCTCCAGGAAAAGGGAACTCCAAGCTTGGATTTCTGGGCTGAATGGAACTGATCACTGCCCCTGGTTTTGGTTTTTAGGTTGTCATTCTTTCACTGGGTCCTTCCTGGAGTATTTTGCTGCTGATATCAGTAAGTGAATCCATCCCTTTGGGAATTTTGCTCTTGGCTGGGTAAATGTAGCTCCAACATTTACACACAAGTGACTGTGGCACCAGCCACAGAGAGGGGCTGCTGGTGAATTTACAGCTCCCCATTCTTGTAATTAAGAGTTTAATAAATTAAATAAATACTGGTGGTTCGAGACAATCAGGTCAGTTGGAGTTGTGACTGGTTCCTTATGTTGCTCCCTAATAATTTAATTTTCTTTAAGGCAAATAAATGTTTTTGGTGGTGGTTTTTTAACCTCTTTGGTAGGGAAGGAAGAAAAACTTCTCTCAGCAATAAAATTCCTTATTTTCTATCGCTACGGTTATGAAAACTCTTTGCACATTTCGATCTAAATTGTTGTGGTTTCTCTTCCAGGCTACCCAGTTAGGAAAGAGGGATACCAGAGTGTGGTGCAGATGGCATTCCCAAACACAGAGGGGGAAGGGGCTGGAGAGTCTTCCTCAGACACCTCCCCCCAGAAACCCCCGAGGAAGCTCCTCCCTGACAGGACCAGAGCTGCCAGGGACAGGGAGAACAAGAAGCTGGTGGAGTTCATAGTCAAGTCAAAAGGAGCTGAAGAACATCTCCTGGGGATCTTGAAAAGTGGGAAGCAATCCCGCTGGCTGAAGAAATTCCTGAATTCCAGCCGGTACATGACCTGTGTGGAGACTTACCTGGAGGATGAGGAGCAGCTGGACCTGGTGGTTGGGTACCTGAAGGAGGTGTACAGGGAGATGGACACCAAGAACCTGCACCAGATCCTGGGGGACGGCATCAGATTCATCTCAGATGTGCTTTTACCTGAGGTGAGGGAGCATGAAACAGGAGGAAAATGAACTGTGGAGTGATAAATGACTGTAATTCCCATTATTTATTCCTTTGGTGTGGTGTGGCTCCTATGGAATGATGTGGAGAGAGTTCCCAGAGCTGAGCCAAGCAGGAATATTCACCCCTTCCCACAGCCTGAGTCACTCAAATGCTGTTTTTTAAGCACAGAGAGGAGAAGCTTCAGGTAGTTTGTTGCTTTTAAAAGAAGACTGATAGTTTTCTGATGTTTTTTAATTACTTCTGGAATGCTTCAAGGCTTTGTTTTTGGGATTTTATTTTAATTTGGCAACTTCTCAGGGTTTTCCTGGTCCTTTGTGTGTGTCGAGGTGGGGGGTGGTGTGTTGGCTGTTTTTACAGTTGTTTTGGATACCTTGTGTTCTTCACAGGAATTTTCCCAAGAGAACATTAACTCCTGTAGAAACAAAATTACTGTGAGGAATATTTTAATCTGAGGATAAAAATACCCCCCAGGGGAATGATACAGAACAAGTTCATATTATTTATTTAAGAATTTCAGGCACTCAACGAGCGATTTCATCCAAGTTTTCCAAGTGATTGAGGAACCCTTTTCTCCAAGTGTGCTCAGCTGAGGCAGCTTGAAATCCCTGGCTGTGGTTTAGTTTTGCTTATTGATTATTATTATTATTATTATTATTATTATTATTATTAATTATTATTCAATGCTTTTCTAGGCCATCATCTGTGCCATTGCTGCTGTGGATGACATTGATTATGAGAAGGCAGAAGAGAAGTACATTAAAGGACCACCTGTGAGCAAAAGGTAGATTTGTTTTTAGGATTTTCCAGGGGTTTTTACCTCATTATTGTTGGATACAGAAAAGGTTTGGGGTGAGAGCAGGAGAGCTCAGTGTCCCCCTCCCGTGAGGGACAAAATGTGCCAGCTTTAATTTGTCCAGATGACGTAATCTGGACAATAATACCCTGTTTTAATTTATAAACTTCTATCTTTTTCTTTCCAGAGAGAGAGAGTTGTTTGATGAGCAAGTCCTGGGAAGCAAAAAGCTCAAGACGGAGCCAGAGCCTGCAGAGAGCTGAGGAGTGGCCGGGGCTGCCCTGGGGCCAGGTGTAAATAACCAGTGGTGATTTGTACAAAAACGTGGCATTCTTTGTAAAGTTTGTGTGTATATCCCCAAATATTCTGCTCTCAGCCCCAGCTGGCTCTCATCCCTCGCTGCTTCCCATGGCCTTGCCATGTTGAGGATCTGCCAGATCCTGATCCATCAGTGCCCTCCTGGGGGGCTACCAGAGAGCCCTCCAGTGCTGTGCAGAGCTTCTGTTGCTCCACCAACTTCCACGTGGATTCCTTTAGCCAAACACCCAACTTGGGAAGGGATTTTATCCTGGTGGCCTCGTTGTTCCTGATAAAAGCAGGAGGGGGTTCCTGCAGGAAACGTTCCCGAGGGGTTCCTCCTTCCTGCCTGACGGATCTCCAAGGGTGGGAATTCAGATTGGTGCTCAGAGCTGCGACCTGGATCACAAAGATTTGTGGGGTTTTGTTCTGTTGTGACAAGTAAAATCCCGTGGAGAAGGAATTCAGGTTTGCTTAAACAAAAACATTCCCTTTTCCTCTGCCAGTGTGCCAGTGGAATGCTGGTTTATTGCCTCTTTTGAGGCCAGGAATTTTGGGAGGCTGTTAATTGTCTTTTTCTCATCTGAATTCCCAGTTTAATCCTGCCCAGCTCCCTGCCCACCTTTGCTGGAGCCGTGGCACATGGAAGCAGTGTCACCAAGAACTAATTAATGATGAATAATGATAAATGATACATAAAACCCCCTGATTAGGGTTTCTCTGTGATAATGAAATGTGATCTCCTTGCTTGTCCAGTAAAACCCAAGATGATTTGAAATACAGAAGTTGAAATTGGGATCCAGATGTCTATCCCGGCTGGTAGTAATTATCTGAATATATTTTAATTACACTTTTAATTGCTCTGTGCTCTCTAATGAGTTTTACCATGGAATCCTCATTCTCGTTATCTCAAGTACCTCAATTATAGGGACAGGCCAGGAAGTGAGTTTTTTATTAAAACCTGGGAGGAGGAATAATGAGTTTTGTAGGGTAGGATAAAAAATTAATGATGGAGTTAACTCAGAGCTGTGAGTGGCACTTTCCCTCTGGAGGTGAGAGTTTGGGGAGGGAATTTCCTGCCCCTCATCCCAGTGCTCTGGGATATTTGGAGATGGGGATCAACTTCCCCCTCCTTCACATTAACCCTTTGTTCCCTTCTCCATCAAAACTCCTCAAGTGCTGTTAAGAAGCAGAACCACCTCACCTCCACTGCAGCTGTGGAATCCTGGAATGGTTTGGGGTGGAAAGGACGTTAAAGCCCATCCCTGGTCAGGGACATCTCCCTGGGGGCTCCAAGCCCCTCCAGCCTGGCCTTGGATACTTCCAGGGATAATCCTGACCTTGTCCCACCCCTTTCCAGTGCTGCCTCACTGGTCACTCACTGCTGCTGGGCATCAGATTCAGCCTCGCCATGTACACATCATGTGGATTTAATAAAGTGGGATGAAGTGAATCATCAAAATTTGCTGCTTTTGTTTCATTATTTTAATCTGTGGCGGGTGGTGCTTCCACCCCAGTCTTACAGCAGGTGAAGATAGTTTTTATACATCAGATAAAGCTGTAATATCCTGTCTCTGTCTCAGTTTCACATTATTAATCACTGGGAAATGAACTCGCTGGTTTTTATTCTTGTGCTTTATTTAAAATGGGCTAACATACACCACCTCTGCTTGTCCAGTGTTAATTAATCCATGTTCCTTCAGCTTCCCTCCTCAATGCTCAGTGTAAGATCATTAACTCGTATTTATTATTAATTCATAATTCATCTTTATTTAATTTCTTTAATAATATTTATCATTAATCCAGGGTTAGATCCTGCAATCCTTCACCCCTGTCTGTTTCCAGAATATTTAAAACGATCACGTGCAGAGTTTGGGGAGGGAGTAACGAATTCGGAAACCCCGGGGGGTGTTTTGGGGTGAAAACAGCGCTTTTGCAAACCGGGTCCCGGCAGGAAAAGAAACTTTTGCCGAAACCCGGGATCGAACCAGGGACCTTTAGATCTTCAGTCTAACGCTCTCCCAACTGAGCTATTTCGGCTGCACGAGCGCGCTCCGCCCCCCGCCCGTCACCGCCGGCGGC